GTGACACTTCAATCGCACAAAATTTTGAGAATACATGCAAAAAAAACGCTCTGACCTAAAACCTTATAATCCCGCAAACTTGTCTGCGTTTTTAGGTTGGGTTCATACCAGTGGCGTACCGAGGGTGGGTGGGGGGGGGGAGGGGCGCACCCCACCCGAGAATGGGTCGCGAAATTTTTGAAAGTCACTTACATGAGTCATAAAAATGTGCAAAAAACTTATTTATACTTGTAAGTAATTGAAGTAATTTTTAAAAATTTTCAAAAATTCAATTTAGCTTTATAAGAAAATTTTTCCCGGGTGGCTGACGCCACTGGGGTTAGGGACCGCAAAGATTGTGAGAAGCGTACCAAAAATTTTTAAAAATTTTTGTCCTCCCCCTCCGAGCCGAAATCCTGGGTACGCCTTGATTATAAATTTATAATTATTTATATTATTACGAATATATTAGGTCAATCTGAAAGTAATTTCGCTTTTTTCAAACGGACGCCACATGTGATGGAACAAAGATTTCTGAGAGGTCTTGGTAGCATTCGATGCAGAATTTCATCCTCTTACTAAAATAATGAAACCGTTGCAGCGCACTCAATGTGCTTTCGGAAAATAACCAAAATCTGCGACCCAAGCTTTTTGAGATGGTCAAGTTTCACAATTTTTTGAAACTTTCGTATCAATCATCAGAGGGAGCTCAAATAACGATTAGGTAGAGCAAATCTTACAGAATATAAAACAATTTTTTTCTTTTTCTCATAGCTCCTCAAAATTTTTTGATAAAATCTACAATTGATGCTACCAATTCTCATACTTGGTCAGCTCAAACCTCGTAGAACATCAGAGGGAGACTTTTGTTGCCGATTTGTTCAGTCTTCGAGATAAAATCATCATAACTCATGTTTTTAACATGCTCAAGGCTGTACTCGAAAAACTCGAAATTTGATATTTCAAACCCGTAAACTTTCATTTGCTTTGTAAAATCAATATCAAGTCATATTCCACCTTGGAAGCTCTAAATTCCGAAGATATATTGTTGTTTGATGCGAATGTAGCTGACGTATGCCTGCCAAAATCCTATGGTTTCGGTAAAAAAATCTCTCAAAAAATTACGGCGGGCTATGAAAAAGAAAAAAGTTATGCTGTGTTTTTGAAGGTTTGTCTATTTGATCATTACTTGATCTCCTTCTGAGGATTGATATGAAAGTTTTAAAAAATTATGAAACTTGACCATCTCAAAAAGCATGGGTCGCAGGTTTTGGTTATTTCCCGAAAGCACATTGAAGTGCACTGCAAAGCTTCCATAATATTAGGAAGAGGATGAAATTCTGTATCGAATGCTGCTAGATCTCTTAGAGATCTTTGTTCCATCACATGTGGCGTACCTTTGAAAAAAGCGAAATTACTTTCGGAATGGCCTAGTATTTGAAAACTTTTCCTGCATTTATTCACGTGTTTTTATGACGGGTTAAAAAAACGGAGAGAACTTTTGGCAACCTAATACAGGTTGATGCATAAAAATAATGAGCGTTTTTCAAATTATCGTTTTAACTTGCTATAGCTTTCTATTGAATCTACATTCAAAAATGTGGTAAAGAACATTAGACCAGCAAATCTCTCGCAATACAGCGCACATTAATCTGTACTAATAGTTCATATAAACAGAAAGAATATGGCTGAAAAGCAAAAAATTTTTTTAGAGCTTCGTTTTTCACAAAACGTAACTCCCTTCACAGTTTGTTAGCATACTTTATATATAGCCTAACTTGTAGCCGCAAGCCAGCACTATAAAGAACATGGGATGGGCTTGGGGAAAGGATCGGCAAAAAGGAAAAAAATTTTTTCAGTAGGCTTCAAAATCCCGAATTATAGAATTTTCTAATTTCTTCGTACTAAGTAGCTGATGTCTTTACTAAAACTGTCAAAATGCTCTAAATGCTCTACCCTCACGCTTATGGAAATGATCAAAGCTTCAGCAAATGCAACGTACATAAAAGTTATGGGCGGTAGACCACAACCGTTATCCATGTTAAGGCGCCAATATCTCAGTATAGATAACTTCACAAAATATGGTTAAGTGTGCACAATGTAGACAATTTTTTGATTCATGTGCGTTTGAATTCTGGCTAGAGACAACAGACTAAGGCAAATGTCCGCTTCGAACATCGTTAGATAGAGCATAGAAAAAAACTTCTCAGTTTTGTTGACTCTGTTGCAAAAAGTTTGGTGGAGATATCTCGAAAACAGTCCTAGGAAAACGCTTTAGAATTTTGCTCAACCTAATATATTAGGTCGGATTAAAATTTTTATCTCTAAATCAAAATAACTTCCAAAATTTTTGCAGAAATTTGCAAAAAGCTTTTCATAACTAGCATGTAGAACAAGGTTTTTGCAGTCGAAATCTCTTTGCCACATTTTTAAGCTTTTTCAATTCAGAAAGTGGATTCTCAAAAGCTTCAATCAGAAAAAATTCTAAACATGTTTGCGCATTTGCGGTTAATGCGGAATTTCTTCCTCTTCTTAACAGTTATGCATTTTAGAGGTTTTTTACATGACTGCTGACATAACTGCTGAAGTTTACAAGTTTTCGATTTTACGGGGTGTAGGGCGATTCGCACGGCCATTATGCTTTCCATACAGGACCACCGCCGCAGACAACACATCCTGCGGTGGCTTTTCTAAGCAAAGCAAGGGGAGGAAAGGTTTGCGGTGTGCGTGACGCATTCAGACAAGTCAAAATCATAGTGGCGCTTGAGACCCGTGCGAAAAGACCGTCTCCCATTCTACCTTCTCTAACTTCCGCTTGATTTCATTTATTTGAAAACTCTGATAACTCTGATAAAGCAAAATTTTTTATTCAAAACTTTTAAAGAAGCTTTGATAAGTACCTCTTGAAATGAACCTCACCCAAATAAATGCACACATCTCTCAAGGCTAATCTCTTGAAATTTCAAGATTGTTTTTAGAGCATATATCTTCGATTATATGTTCGATTTCAGCTTGTGAAATGTCAACATGTGAACAATTTAGGTGCCACTTTATAGAGCTTTCTCTACTCTTCATAAGATTTTCCTTTTGTTTCTGGCTTACGCGAAACCTCTTGGAGAAGTTTTCGTACTTCCTTTAGTGAAGAATTGGAAACTGAAAACAAAATTTTTAGGACAATTAAAAGTACGCAATGTACCCTAAATTTTGAAATTTTCATGAATGCAAAAATCACCCATTTTTTTCATAGTCAGCGTTATTACCAACTAAAGGCTTTGGAGGCTTTGAATATTGAGGGTCTAAGAATTTTTCAGAAGCGGCTTCTGGAAAACCATATTTGATTTTTCAAAGAATTTCAAAAATTGAAAAACTGCGGCATAAAGTTTTTAACTCTATTTGTCACCTATCGAATGTCCATGAAAGTGTATTCTGAAAATCCTGCAAATTTTGCTATTTTGATTCGAGGAGAAAAAATGGTTTACAAAACTTCAGCAATTATTACAGCAGTTATTTGAACATCAGTTTTATGAGCAACTGTTAAAAAGGGGAAGAATCTTGCATTGGATGCCGTTCATCTTAATTCAGTGGATTCACGGAAAGGTCCAGGAAACGGAAAGAACTTTTGCATCTACTCAATGTTTTAGAAAATAAAAATCAAAAAAAGGATTTCTCCGTCTCTTTAGATGTAGCGAGTACAACATGACTTAAGCCCGTATGCACGTACATTCCCGCTGGGGAGGGAGGGGAGCTGGATCCCCAGGGGGATGAGCCCCTTCAAACCCCGCTATGACTCACGACTACCACAATACCTCGTCAAAAAAGTTGTTTTTGGTCATTTCTTGTGCACCAGAATGGCTTCTGGAACAAAACGTACAAGAATACTAATTTCGCGCGTCTTCGTTTCTTTCTCACACTTCTCCATTCACCCCTCTCATAACATCTCTCCTTCGCTCTTTTTTCCATTACTGGATCTAAGGCTACGTGCTGTCAGTAGTGATAATGATGGTTTTTGAAGTGGTGTGAGTCTATTTAGCAGTCCATAAACTGATTTCCTCGCAAACATATTATTTCTGCACTTTCCCTACAAAAGAATTTGTGAATGTGCAGTTTTTTGTAGTTCTTGTGGTTTTTTTTCCAACGTTTACAAATGCGATACTCTTTCGCTGCCTCAGAAGGAGGAGTTGTAAGAGTTGTAGGAGCTCTTGACAATTCAACGAAAATTACGCATTTTTTATATGACATGACAATTTTAGCCATATAGGCTAATTGAAATACTGTAACCTTCATATTTCATGACATGTTGCCTTTATCTTGTTATTTTAACATAAGCTGCTTTGCAAAAATCTAGAGAGTAGCAGATTCGTATATTTCTGAGTAGAGATACCCAGGGGAGTAATCCTCCCCTCCCCAGTGTTCCCCTCCTGCATAGCAGGGAGGCTGCTGGGGATTTTTCCCTTGGGGGAATGGACGGTATGTCGCTGATAGCTACAACCTCATGAAGAACTGGCACAATTTGCAGCTTCTGTTATGTGTAGAAATGCTGATTTATGTCAGCGGCACCTCCCTCCCATTTTCAGCAGCATAACATCTTCTACTTATTCACTTCAGAAACATCAGGACTTCTACAGTTGAACACTTTTACGCTGAAATGGGCAGCATTAGCGAATGTGAGCAACATCCATGCAAAAAGGCAGGCTGCATTCCGCAACGACTAAAGTATTGCCGATGACAGGCTGGAGGCGAATAGCTATTAAAAGATAAGAAAAAAGGAATGATTGCCACAAAAAATTGGAAGCGAGATATTCCCCGCTCGATTTTTCCTTCTGCATAAGGGGGTCCCTTCCCCTACTCCCAGGGGATCCCTTCCCCAACTCTCAGATTCCTTCCCCGGTAATGCCTTTGTGCATACGGGAGTTCGCGTGGGGAAGGGAGGGGAGCCCCAGCGGGGATCATTTCAATGGTTAAGCGCATATCCCCTCCCCGCGGGGATGTACGTGCATACGGGCCTTACTGAAATTTTTCAGGCTTACCAGAATGCGAAAAAACGGGAAGGAAAAGAATCACGAGTTGAGGGTTTACCCGATTTCACTGAAGACCAACTATTCTTTTTAGCTTATTCTCAGGTCAGTAGTATCTATCACATCTGAATACATCATTGGTTTTCTATGCTATGCGAGTGGTGTAAAATTCGAAATTTAGCATTGGTGATAACAGGATTTGATAAGCATAAAATAATACAGAAAAAAGAAGTATTAGGAAGCTGTGCCTGGCTTCATGCACGCTATGGCTGCTGGGAGGGCTCAGCGCAGGTGGCGCTTTCACACGCAGAATATCGTTTTGTGGGGGAGAAGCAAAAGCAAGATTGTAAGTCAGGGAGGATTTCCGGATTTGTTAGGATAGCAAGCATATCTCAACACATGATCCCGAATTTGAGACTCTTACGTCATTCAACCACTAACAGTCAATTAACATGTTACAAAAATGAGTAGCGACCAACTTGTGTTCAGATTCGTAACGTGTTGAAACAGGAACTTTATGCACAAATAGATAAAAATCAATTTGTTTACAACGGCTAAGCAATACTAAGTCATCAAATTTGGTGTGTAGCTTCGCCACGTCGAATGGTAAGCGACAAAAATTGAGAAAAAATTATGTGAATCAAAGAAGTTAAGGGTGCTCCCACGCAACCTGGGAGCACCCTGAAGTTGCGCGAGACCAAACAGTAATAATTTACTCACTTCCTCACATAATTTTTTCGAAAATTTCTACGTAAATCTATTCACCGGGTCAAGCTTCATTTATGAGTACTCACTTCAGCCGCTCAAATTTCAACCCCTCTGCTTTGCTGCGATACTTGATACAAAAAAACCATCTTCTTGTCTGTTGTTTCCGAATATTCTGTTTTTTTTTCACTTTTAGCCACTCATCGTTCGCTGTAGATTAGAACCCGCACTTCCAAATCCACAAAAGGTTGATCGTAAATTCCTGTATTATCAAAGGAAACTTCGTTTGAAAGATTTTCAAATGCCACCTCATGTCGGGCTTTGGCTGCGGGCTTTTGAAGGAAGGATCCTTGACGGTATTTTCAAATAAGAATGGCAGGATCTGGTACTTGGTACTGGTGTCATGGGCAAAAATTGTTCGTTGTAATTATTCATTATCGCTTCCATTTCGCGCTGGGAGTTTACTAATCTTCCGGCTTCACTCACTAAAGCTTGTATTTACTTCGTGTTCGCGTAGATCATTCCGATATCTCTTCAGATCATGTTTTGTGCTGCTTCGAATAACTTAATTTGTCGATATCGTTTCAGATCCTCTTGCACGGTTTTCTGCAGATGTTGTTGAACAGCACTTGCTCCAGGTGCAGCGTACTTGGATCTGCATGCAGACCTCTTCTTTCCTCTAGAGAATTTTTTGTGTTGTTCGTCAAACGTCCATTATTTCTTTCCACGGTGAGAGCTGTCTGCTCAGCGCAGCTGCGTAGTCCTTCGATCAGCTTTCCTAGATCTTCTGCTCTCATTAATGTTTTCGAGAATGGTTAGTCATACACGACCTCTCTCCTGAGCTTCGCGCGATGGAAGGAATTTCTCTCTATTTTCTGATACGGATCTTTGCTCGAAGTGGTCCTTTTTCCACGGTGGTCCGACCCTGTGCAAAACGACGGAACACTCCGACATCGACCAAACTCCATCTCCTTTTAACAAGTACTCAGATAATCGCCGGGGCAAGCGGTCCGCAAACTCGCGCTTTTTTGCAAGCGGTCAGCAAAATTTTGGGGCTGGCAAAGCTTTCAGCGGCATTTCCGTTCCGCCAGCGGGCAACAATACAAAATTTACTGCACGTGCTCGTCAAATAATTTCTTTCAGCGAGCGCTGGCCAAACTTTCAGCAGGCGCTCAAACTCTTTAGGCAGTCTAGGGCGTACGCCGAGCAAAGGTAATGCTCTACGTAACAGAGGTGTCATCGATAGTTCAATTACCCGAGTTTACTGACGGGTACTTTCTCTCAATGAGGTACCCATGGGCTATGCGGTCTTTCACAAAGGACCATGCGACCCTCAATAATCCATAAATATATAAAACTCAATGTCTATGAGGATGTTCGTTTGGTTGGTTATAGAAACGCCAGCCATTGAACCAATTGAGCTGAAACTTCGCACACATATGTTTCCGGCGGTGGTTTGTGGCTACTTTTTGCAGCGATTCGCAGGGTTCTTCTATTTATTTATTGACTTGTTTACTTGAATATGGAAAAATGAAAGTCTGACGTGCTCCAACCAATCATATTCCGATAAACACTTAGGGACTCGCGCCGTGCGGGCGGCCAGCGACGACCTTACAGTCGCTCGTTGGTGTGTGCGATTGTACGGCCGTCAAGGGCCAATCACACGATTAACGTGGGGCGCCCACACGGATTCTAATGCTCGCCGCTTGCGCGGGGAAGGTCGGCCGCTCGCTTGCTGTTGGAGTAAATTTACATGGGATATCTTGACCATTCTTTTTGAATGTGTTGACCCTATCCACATTCTGGGAACATGGCTCGATGCCTACAGCATTGGCCAAACTTTTTTATGGGGAAGCCCAAACCATCGCTCTTGATAACTCTAGCCTCACTCCGGTCCATTTCAGCTTTGCTGGTGAAAGAAAGTGCTGATAACAAGTTATGTCAGCGCTCATCCAGCATAGACGCTGCGTCATATCTCACGCAGATACCGCTCACACTCACAATGTGTGAAAAGAGTGAGCAGAAGATAGAAATCACTGTTGGCCGCTTGCACGGCAACAGGTATTGCCGACCGGTAAGACGGACGCATTGCTGGCCGCTTGCTCGAGCAACTCTATTGCAGGCCGTTTGCAAGGTAACATTGCCTGCCGCTAGGACGGCGCTTCAGCTGTTTGCCGCACGCACGGAAGCTTTAGGCTTATGTCGACCGCTTGTACGCTAGCCCTTTAAGAGGACCGCTCGCACTGCGCGAATCCCTGAGCATGTATGCAGGGGTAGTAAAGTTTATTTTGATCTCAAGGTCAACAGAATTTAGCAGATTCGTCCCAAAGCGTTTTTTGGGCACTGTAGAAGTTAGAAAGTGTAAGTATGATCGGATTCCAAATTATGGAGGCGGGTTGCGGACTTTACTGATTTTAAGGATAAGCTCAACGAGAAAGTACGGAATACAATGTTATAACGTGGAGGCTTAACAAGCTTATCCTAAAAATCAGGGAAGTCAACTCGCTTTTACACGAACCTGGGAGCCGGACATCTTGGTGGGTAGTAGGGCAAACTCCGCCAGTTTGAGACCCCTTGCTGGCCTTTGATGGCAAATGCTCCTTTTAAAAATTGTTGCATGTGGTTGCAGAACTAATAGTCCGCGGAGATGTTTCAAACTGGCGGAGTTCGCTTCCCTACCCCATTTTGGTCAAACTAAGAGTCTCGGGTGAGACCGGGTCCTTTAGCTAGTTTTTCGCATACTCTCGCGGTAAGTCAGCGAGAATGCGGCCACTGCGCAGCAACTAATCCATGAAAAGCCGCAACTGTCGCATAGGTCTAAAATTTCGGCAGAATTTTTTCGATTTCTGCATGCGGACCGTAAGAAATTAGCGATCTATTTTTTTGGTGCCCGCCTGCACATATCGCATGGCTGCCTGCCCCCGCTAATCATCTGAGTATACATGGTCGAGTTCCGCATGCGCCGTGCCATTTGGTGACTCCCATGTTCAACGGCAACGTTCTTTCTTTGAAAAAAGGGTGTTCCCAAGAAAAAATTGAGCCGCCGATAAGGCCGATGAGTCTCTCTCCATTCTCGTTTTAAACTAAGTCCACACTTCTGTCATCTTCTTGGTGAAATTGCCGACAATAAACTAAAAACAACTTCTCCTTGCAGATACCGTCTTCAAGCTCCTCGTAGAACTTGTCGAGCTCGTTTTCATCAGCTGCCTCTGCGCGTGAGTAACAGTTAATGATGCTTATCTTCATCTGAGGCGGAGCGGCAAGTCGAGGGACTGCTAGCCGTGGTGACAGAATTTCATGAGAGTCGACGGATTTGGCTAATGGAGAGTGTACGACCAAGACCACGCCTCCGACGTTTCGTGCGGAATCTCCTCTCCTAATATGACAAGAATTCCGTCCTTCCATTTAAGTGTGGCCGAGCTTCTGTTCTTGTTTCCTGTAGTGCAATTACAGCGTATTTGATGCGAATGGCGGCGTCGAGGACAACATAAAACTCGTTGGCTGAGGATAACGTCCCTGCATTGTACGTGCAAAGTCGAAAACATCCTCCTTGTCTTGTCGTATCTGTTTTGTTGCCGAAAGGATCTATGCAATTTTTGCTTTAGCACCTGAGATTTCTTTGCTTTTCATCGTCGTAATGCCATCCGACCTTCCAAGCTGCAGACGAACACGGTGCGCAGGGTACTGAAACAATTTGTTTGTAGTTGACAAAGTTATTAAATCTCCCGCTATGCCGTAAAAGTCGGGCTGGAGTGTTCTGGGGCCGTGTTAAACCAGTCGCCGCTCCTTGGTGACGCTGACGTTTTTTGCCTCTTTGCGACTTGACCGGCGTATTAGGTAGGTGGCAACGGTCCCAACCAGGGTCAAGCGTGGGATGTAGCATGTCACACCTGGAGGATCGTATCGAGGGATCGGGGAGAGGGGGAAAGAGGAAGGGGTCGTTATCGAGGTGAGCTGATGTTAGCAATGACATGATATTCGTTAACAATGTCAGATAGGCACTATGTAAAGTACTAGCACATGGAAGACATGCATTATAGTACAAAACCCTCACCGCCAAAGCTCACCGCCTTGGTCGGCATGCGCGGTTACCAATCTCAACTCGCAATCTATGCCACAGGTCACACCCCGCAACAACAATTAAATAACTATATCGTGACAAAAACACGTGAAACAAAGTAAAAAAGAAGAGAACTTTGGAAAAATTGATAAATTTCCGATTCGAACGAGTCTTTTGTATTTATATTTGAAAATAAAACGAATATAAAGCAGGTTGAAAAAAATAAACAAGTTTCTTTTCAATTTTGCACCTTATCGCGATGCGACGGAAGACGCTGCGCGTTGAAATCTGAAAGAGCGATTTTTTTGAGTATTTCTATGCAACTTTTCATGAAAGTATC